CAACATACCTGGCATTGTTTCTAATCTCACTCCTGCATCTAACATTTGATATCTTTCCATCATGGCATATACTCTATTCAAATTTTATGTAGTTACTGATAGGCTTAGATTTCAATGTCTGATTTTTAAGTACCTTATTCATTCTCAATATTTTTATGACTTTTTTGTTGTTTTTTTAATGACTTTTCCATATTAAACACGGTTTTTTAATATGTCAATTTGGCTTCAACACCTGAAGTCGTCAGTTCCTGAATGTGTTTTCTGCTGTCCTGCTGGCTCTTACTTATGGAGCCAGGTGCCCTTTGGTGTCAGCTGTGAACTTCCATGTTGGGGAAGCTTGGATATCTGGACTGGTAATACTTGGTACTGGAGAAGAGTTTGCCAGGGCTCACCTTGGGCAACTACCAACTTGAGATTCATGTTTTTTTGTTTGTTATTTGTTTGTTTTGTTTTGTTTTTTCTTAAACATTGCTCTCAAAGCTTTTTAATTTGTACAGGTAACCTAACGTCAGATTGTAGTCCTGTCTTCCTGGACCCCAGGTCCTGACAATATCTAGCTAATCTTTCCTATATATTTATATGGATTTTCCTTCTGGTAGTTCTCATTTATTATTCATTATATTTCTCACTTATCCTTACTGTAAATACATATGCTTTGCACCATTATTATCAATTAAATTCTTGATTTAGGGATATCCTAGGCCTTTCCTTCTGCTCCTCATGCAGGTAACAGAAACGAGCTAAAAAATAAATCCCAGTATTTGGTAAAAAAAAAAAAATTGTATATATATATATATATATATATATATGTGTGTGTGTGTGTGTGTGTGTGTGTGTGTGTGTGTGTATATACACATATATATATACACACACAAATATTTGAGTTAACTTTCAGTATTCTTGTATTAATTTTATTTTCCCCATTATATTACCTTCTTATTTTCATGTCAGCTGAATGATGGCCTAGTTTCTTTCCAGAAATTTCAAATAATTTCTCTAGCACTTTACTCTTTTAAGAATATATGATATTATTGCCCGGAAGGGAATCATGATTAATGTCTCTTCCTAAAAAATAAATTCATATATTTTAATGCATTTTATTTTCTTTAGATTTCTATTTGATATAATTAAATTTCTTCTCATATTTATGTCACGTTTGTATGATAAAAAAGCAATGCAAGTAACTAAATATGTTAAATAACTATTGTACCATACAGTATTTTAAATGTTTAATGTAGATTCAGTTTGTGAGTTTTGGATCTATAAAATAGGAATGAAGCAGAGAGAAGCTGGGTTCGTTACTTATGGTTAAAGAATGTTAGAACAGAAAACTATGTTAAATTGCACAGTCCTAACAAATAATCTGCAAAGGTGCAAAGCTCAAAAGATCATATCTTTATACCTAACTGTGGATGTATCATATACCACCGTGAACAGCATGGTTGTCTGCTCATTTTTTCCAGCATTAAAACATATTCAAAATCACAGTTTGATAATTGCATTTGCTTTGGTTATATTTCACTTTGCAACGTATCCATTATAAAAATCAAACATGGCCTGTGAAAATCTCATAATGCACTCTGTGCCTCTTTTCTAAACTCCATCACATTTAGCTATCATTAACTGTTTGGAATATTTCCTGCAGGCATTTATTGCGGTATAGACATCTGTTACTATAGTGTCTCCACATGGGTAAATTTGGTAATAATTATATGTATGTATTGATGTCTATATTTTTATATTTTTACTAGCTCTCCATGCTTGGGGTGTGATATGTGTGAGTGGTTTTTGTGTAATGTTATTGTCTTCTACATATATATGATAGTGCAGAGTCTAAATATAATTCAATGTTTTTATGTTTCTTGGATTAGGCATTTTATTGAAAACATTTTTTTGTTGTTGTTGTTACTAACAGAGAGGTGATTTTTCTAAAAAGTCAGTGCTGTGTGTTGTGCATTGGTAGATAGCCATTCATGTAGTGTACCTCTGTGCCCTTGGGAAAGAATGTTCCTTAATTTCTTTCCACCCTAAGCATCATCACATTGTAACAACCCCAGCAACGGCACGCAGAAATCAGGAGCATAGCTGTAAGCCAGCTTGGACTATATATTGAGTTTTAGGCTAATATGAGACTGTGTTTCAAAAAAAAAAAGCAGATTGAAAATAAAAAAGATGCCCTACCAAATTTACAAATTAACAAGGAACACAAGGACGAACAATACAAAATATATGTATTTTTATTTAAGAATTATAAGTAGGCTAAAATTTAAAACAGCAAGTAAGTAAATGGCCAGTATAATATAAGTTCTTGTTTAATTCTAGAACTATCTATGATATGCATAGTATTAATAACACTGTTTCACTGAGAGGATATCATAATTCAGATTTATTAAATCAGTTCCCCCAATTACCCATTATTACAGTTGGAATAGAGCCCAAGCCAGTTGGCTTATAACTCAGTGTTCTTATGCACTTTTATAAACTGACTCCTGGCAAGAAAAAAAAAAAAAAGGCAATATTCAGCATAAGGTAGCCAACAGCTCTTTCCTCAGCTTAGTGGCCCACTTCCATTTTTAGGAGTGCTTTTTCATTTTTAATTACAATTTTATTTTGATATTGTAATTACATCATTTTCCCCTTCCCTCTGAACCCTCCCATAAACCCTACATTCCCCTCTTTTAAATTTATGGCCTCCTTTTTTATATCAATTGTTGTATACATGTACATTTCTAATGTAACCTACTGAATTCATGTAATGTTCCATTTTATGTCTATGTATTCAGGGTCGGACATTTAGTATTGAATAACCACTAGGTGTGTTCTTCCTTAGGGAGGACTATTTCTCCACCTCCAGTGCTCTTTAATCACCTGTAGTTTTTCTTGTAGGTTGAGGCTTTATGGGCTTGTCCTGGTCCACTTTAGCATATTCATTTTTGTAGGCTTTGTTCAGCTCATGTTTGAGCAGTTGTGCAGGTGACACTTTATGGGTGTATCTTCTGACATCACTGTCTCAATGGCAAAGTCCCTGTTCCTCTAGCTCTTAAAATCTTTCTGCTTTCTCTTCCACAATGCTTTCCGAGCTTAAGTGTGGGTGTTTTTTTTTTTCTAAATATATCCATGGATACTGGGCTTCACAACTCTAAATTTTAATAAGAGTGGTTTTCTGTAATAGTCTCTGTGTGCTATAAAGAAAAATTTCTTGATGAGGATGTGGACTACACTGATATCGGAAGATTTGGAGCTAGAGCCTCCAATGAGAGAAAATATCTAGTGATTGTCTTATTGAGCTAACACCATTTCAATTCCATGTGTAACACAGAAGGAGTGAATTTTCTCTCCTGGTTGCTGCCTGGGTTTCCTCCCGACCTATGTTATGTTTTTCTCTTAAACTCTAATAAAATTGTCCTTTAGATTCTCTAAAAGGTATACAAACTTGCTTAATATGAAGAAACTTCAAATTGGACATAATAAATATACTTTTAAATGGATGGAGATTATTAAAATATTAGTAATAGTTTGAAAGAGAGGGTGAGCTACTTGCAGCTTGTTAGTATTGGTGGCATCACGGTGTATGTAGATGCTACACAAGTGTGTCTTTGATTAGCCTATCATGGGTACATGTGCTTGTATGAGTGCATGCATTGTGCTAACAGGAGCATGTTAGGTGTTCTGCTCTCTGGTTTCGTGCCTTGTTCATTTGAGGCAGTCTTTCAGTGAACCTGAAGGTTGCCATTTCTGCTGGGCTGGTCATCCGGTGAGCTCCTGGGAACCAATTCCTAGTGACTTCCCAGTGGGGTTACAAGGAATATAGCCATGCTCCACCTTTTTTCCTCCTCCTCCTTTTCCTCATTCTCTGTCTCCTCTTCCTCCTCTTCCTCTTCTTTCTCCTCCTCCTCCTCCTTCTTGGTATTGGGATCTTAACTCAGGTCCTCATGCTTGCAGAGCAAGCAGGTTTACCTACTCAGCTGCATCCCCAGCCCTGAATATTATTTACACAAATCAGCCTCAGTTTGTTTATTTGTGAAATGTGGTTAGTAACTAAATGGCATATTATTAAGAGTGCTGTTGCTCTCCTTATGGAGCTCCTGTCCTCTCCAGGTATTTTTATCTCACTTTCTTTTACAAGATTCCCTGCACTCTGCCCAACGTTTGGCTATGAGTCTCACCATCTGTTTTGATACTTTGCAGGGTAGAATCTTTCAGAGGCCCTCTGTGGTAGGTTCCTGTCCTGTTCCCTCTCTTTTCCCTCTTCTGATGTCCATCCCTTTTGCCTTTCTGAATGAGGATAGAGCACACAGGGATGTTTTCTGAGACTGATACTCCAACCAAGGACCATTCATGGAGATAACCTAGAACCCCTGCACAGATGTAGCCCATGGCAGTTCAGTGTCCAAGTGTGTTCTCTAGTAATGAGAACAGAGGCTGTCCTGACACAAACTGATTGGCTTGCTCTTTGATCACCTCCCCTTCAGGGGGTGCAGCTATACCAAGCCACAGAGAAAGACAGTGCAGCCACTTCTGATGAGACCTGATAGACCAGGATCAGAGGGAAGGGGATCAGGACCTCCCCTATCAGTGGACTGAGGGAGGGACATGGGTGCAGAAGAGGGAGGTAGGGTGAGATTTGGAGGAGAGGGGAGAGGGCGCTACAGCTGGGATACAAAGTGAATAAACTATAATTAATAAAAGTAATGTAGCTCAAATACATGAGCATAATATATAACACTTAATGCCTGAGGCTAGCATATTCTACTTCCTCTGAAATCATCCAATATTTCTCCTCATTCACTGTAAATAGAGACACTAGAAAAAAAATCTATCTACTTCTGGTACAAGCCAGAAGTATGTCTATATACAAATCATGTCTATATACAGGTGAAGCAAGTGGTGGAAAATAGCTCAGGCATAACTAAACTTTTAAAATTGTCCTTATTTTGTAACTGTACCAGAAATACATGTGTTATGATGACTTAACTGACACGAGTGTGGTTTTTCTACAGCATGTTTAACTGGACAGTCCCTTTCCTTTCACTGCTGGCCTGTTTGATTCTGGTCATAGCCACTGTCACTTTGTATTTCATCCCTCTACGGTATATCATTCTACTCTGGGGTAAGTCTGACACAGTCCCTTTGCTAGCAGGACGGTTCCAGGTAAGAACAAATTACTCATTTTTAAAGTACAACCATAAACTTTAAATGTGCTCTTGTTACCAATTAAACATGAGATTAAGGAAAACATTTGGTGAATGAAAACTTCCAGGCCTTTCTGCAAAGGCCAGTTTCATGAGGTCTCAACATGGATATTTATAAGCCCCGTGCAGAATCCCAGTCAAATGAAACTATGATCAGGCTTGCCATTTCCCCTTAGGCTTTCCTGCTCATAAATCCCTTTGAATAATATAGAGCTGTGGCCTAGTAAGTTTGCGGAAACACTGTGATTCAAGTGGTGGGCAAACACCTGCACCTTGCCCTTTCTATACAGTAAGAGTGGGTTTGGCCACTGCCTCACTGCTTCTGACACTTCATCTCAACAGCAGGAAAGAAATGAGGTAACCTCACAGTTAAACCCAGAAGCAGCGTGGTGAGAGATGGACATCTGTGACCCCTAAGCAGTGGGTCAAAGAAGAAGCTGTTGTTTGCAGGGGACATGGCTTGCTCGCCTAAAATTTAACCACTTTATGAAGCAACAGGAACAAAATTATCAACTTGTCACATGCCATGCTAGAGTTCACATTCCAGCAAGTAGCTGGAGAAAAATAGAAGGTTCTGTGTGGGTTCACACATCTTTTCTGGAATAACAAAGAAAGTGTAACTAGGAGCAGGCTAGCTTCATTGACGGAGAAGCCAGCAGCCTTTGTCTTATAACTATTGATGAAACTCCCATCTTCATAATTTCATGTGATCTTACACATCGCAACATTCAGCAAAGTCCCAAAGATGAGAGACTGCCTAGATACAGTCACCTGTGAGCAATAACAGAGAACCTGGGAATGAAGATAAAAGCTATACCTTTTTCTAGAACCATCAAGAAAATCTACCAAGAAGGTGTTGGTGGCATGAACCCTGCTGATGCAGAAGCCAACGTGAACATTTGGAAATGAGAGGAGATATATGAAAAATGAAACACCTCATAAGATGACATAATGGCAAGAACAGGGGCAGGGCAAGGTATCCTGGCCATTCTCTGTGTTATTTAGGTGGTATCTTAAAGTTCTTTCTATTGTAGCCAGTCAAAGAAAAAAAAAAAACATTCTAAATCTTCTTCATGGAGTTTTGACTTAAAAAATTAGGCATGATTGAGGATCAAGTATGGAGTTTGAAACACTGCTGAATTGTATGGTTAAAATAATTTTATTCTTTCTGCATTTTTATAAGTATTTATTTTTAAAGTCCAATTTCTGTTTACATTTAGCACTCCCGTGTTATTTTCTAACCAGATGGGATTGATAATGATAGGCCTTTGGCTACTATCTTGATCATGCTGAGCTGAATGCCATAGTCGGCTGTTGAACACTGTGCATATTTCATTATTCTTCTGAGCATTCTTCCTTCCATGAAAAAGGCTGATAGAGTCTTCCCTGTATTTCCTCAGGAGATTGTTTCTGTGAATCTTGTGAATACTCATATCTCTAGATGTTTAAGTCCCATGTATAATGACATAGTATTTGCTTGCAACCTGTCCATACTCTCCTCTATATTTTAAAATGTCCCTGGATTACTAACATATAAAATATGATAAATGATTGCCATACTCTCTTTTTAGGAAATGGCAAAGGAAAGTCAGCTTAGGTTCAACACAACAATGTTTTTGCTAATATTTTTGAGCCCTGGTTGTCTAATACAGGGATCTGAAGTTCAGGCTTAGGGGAACTACACAATTGTGTTTCCTCTTCTGATTGTCACTTTTGGTAATCCTATGTCCTTTTCCATTCACCCAAATCACTCTATTTTCTGATTGTATAGTTTCACATTATGGCAGCTATGTAATATCTCTTTGCATCAACTTAACAAAAGATTTCTCTATTGGTTTTTCAGTTTCTGGCTGATAGTGCTAAACAGCATGGAGTTCAGTTTACTCTCATTGGCCCAAATAAACCCTTTCAGTTTTTCATTCTGGTTCAGTTTAATTCTCTTTTATTCTGGTTTCGTTCTACACTCTATACAATAGTTGGTAGCTTATTGATAAGTTTACTATAGTAGTAGGTGATGGATTCCAACCCTTAGCCACCACTATGTGATAGCTTGCCTCATCTCCTTATGTGAGAGGAATTGCCTTTCAGAATATATTCTGCAATTCTATTATGACTTCTTCTTTCACAAGGTGAGTTAGTTATTAGTTAGCATAGGCTCAGAGAATACACCTGCATGTCTTTTAAGTGATTATACCCCCTGTAGACTCACATGTTATCACATAGAAAAAGTAACATGTATATGCCTAAAGCTTCGGCTGTTCCTTCTAACTTTGGTAAGGGTTACATGACTTATTCTAAAACTTTCCTGTTAATTTTTATTGATCACTAAATCAGATGAATTGGTGTCAGAGACTAGCTGATGGCTTTAACCCTTCAAAAATATTTAACCAAATCACATGCACTAGATCTCATAATATGTAAAACAAATACTTTTGTTGAAGCGTTTTAAGCATAGCAATTATTTTGCATAAACCCATGAAAACAACTTAAATTCAGAACTCTTGTAGGAGATACCACTAGAGGCAGAAAACTCACTGTGAGATTTTTGACAGGTGAAAAACTCTTTGCCCTTTGGCTCTCTAATGTGTAGTTTAGGCATGTGGGTGTAAATAGTACATAAGGAGTAATTGAAAACACAAACATTGGCTCTGTCTGCTCATACTTGAGCTCTATAAATGTGACCGGCTGTGGCCTCCACCACGTCTGTATTTTGGGAGAGAGACTTTGGAAATTTCCTCAAAGGTCCAGTTATGACAAAATTCTGAAATAGTCCTTAGAAATCTTTCTTTTCTGGACATTGCTAACTTGTATGATGTGTGCATTTCCAGATGTCTCTAGGGGACTTTGTTGACCTGTGTGATATATTCAGAAGGCCACACATTTTCCACTATTGTGTCCAATGTATGTCTTTTTGTTCCTTTTGAAATGTTTTCCGTAATTCCTTTGATTCTTTTCTTCATCATGATAGTCTCATTATCATCTACCAGTTCTGGCCTCAGATACTCGCAGTTTTTGCAGGGTAGATAGAAACTCCCCATGCTAAATTTGAGCTCTGTGTACAAAGGAACCATGGTCCACTCACCTCTTATTTCCATTTGAGAACATGCTATTTGTCACATGAAAGGAACTCCAGATTTGACTGAACAAGATGGACTCCTCTGTCTTAAACTCAACCAAAGTGCTATACTTGGACCTGTGTATAATGTATCCAAGTACTTGATAGACAGTGTCATTCTCTGCCAGGTAGTTATTATGTTACACAAATACAAAGTTGCCACACAATTTCTCCAAGTTATTTTTTTTTTCTACTGGAGTCCTCAGCTCCATTAACTGATCTGTATTTAGTGTGGTCTGGGGCTACTCAACAATGCCATTTCCCTCTTATTTGACTACTCTTTTTTTTTTCCTTCGGTCTTGGCTAACAATGTTTACAGCAGATAACTGTATCATTTAGTTGAAAAAAAGAAGTCTAAACTTAAGAGGAGTATTTATTTAGATCAAAACACAATTTCCATGTTTGGAAATGTGCTCCCAAAATAGTATTATGTCATGCATAATAGCACAAAGACCTGTTTTTCCATCACTGCCTCCTGGTGTCACTACCTAATTGATATCTAGACTGATGATTCTAGTTACCCTCTCTTGCTGGCTCATTAGGCAATTGCAGATTATAAACGTGATTCTACCATCAATCCTGGAAACTACAGAGAAAAAGTTTTTATTATGAGGATTTTATTGTCAGACATCTTGGGCCCAGGACGGTTAAGTGATAGACCTGAAACCACACAGTTAATATGTTATGAAGCTAGAATGGGAGCCTGTACCTTTGCTATTGCCCTATTAACCCACAAAGGTGACCAAGGACTCTGTGATATCCTCTTTGTACTTGATCTCACATAATAGATAATTTAGTAGAATACCTGAAATTGTCGAACCTAAGATACCTTGAAAATAAGCTATGCTTCTGAAGCATTCAAGCTGAATACCTTGTGATTTTTATTCCAAGTTTTTCAAACATAGTCAGTTCTCACTGCATTGTGGACTACTTCTGCCTTTATGGGTGCATCTGAGCTGCTGTGCAGGTTTGTAATCTCCTCAGTGACTAAGAATGCAGTGTTTTGATCGACTGTGATATTATCCCTGCCTTGCTGTTCGTTGTAAAGGCTCCAGATGCGCACACTATATATAATTAACAATGGAAGATACATCTTTTCTCAATACGTCTTTGTCTCCCTTCATCACTTTGCCTTGTCTGTTTTCTTTTGCCAAAAAGCCCATGCTACAATTAAATGTCTTTAGAATAACACAGTGAGAGTATTTTAGTTTAAAGGAACGCTGGAGGGAATTTTAGTTCCAAACACGAAGCTTGCTGTGGGGGTAGAGGGAAGAAAGGCAGAGTGCAGCTTTGACTTGAAGGAAAGGGGAGCGTTACTGAGATCCTTCCCCAGCCCAACCACCAAGCCACCATTTACTCATGAACAATGGCTGCCTCCCATTTGCAAAGCAGATGTAAATCTGACCCCCCAAAGAAAGGACTGGAGGTTGTCATTGTGTCAGGTACAATGCCATGCAGGAAGTCTAGTCCTTAGATGAAAGCAAAGTCATATTTAATGAACAAAGGGAAACATCAAACCTTTTATGTGATGGGGACTGTTGAACTTGGCTTCTGAGTAGGAGCCATTCAGAGCACAGCTAAGCTGAGCATTCATTCAGCATCATTGGGACAGGCGGGCCTTCAGATACCATCCTTGTTAAACAAGCACCCTGTGGCAAAACTTCAGAAGGCCACCTAGTCTTTCTGCTTCTAAAACTCAACATGAAAAAAAGGGTTGACATTTGGTGAAAAGACTATAGCTTATGAGATCTGGATAAGGCAGAGCAGCCCCAAGTAACAGAGTAGAAGACAAAAGAAGGTTCGGAGGGATCTCTCTCTGCAGAGGAAACCATGCTCTGAGCATGCCCAGGAACTCCAGATGCACAGCTAAAGATTGACAGAGGCTGTAGGGTCTCTAGGCATCTCGAACATTGAACCTCATTCTAATTACCGCTGTCCCCATTAAGTTGGTGTGGATTCTGTTGCTTGGACAAACACGTGTGCCACTGTTGTGGTCCATAAATGAAGTTAGTCACTGCTGTAAGATAATTTTCCAATAATAACTTTTCACAGTTTCTGCCAGCAATGTGCAATCAACATGTCAAGTTCTGTTCTGCAGTGAGAGAAAAGGATCCTGTGAAAACAAGGAAAGGGAAAACGGTTGTTGCAGTTTCTTTCTACCCGCTAAAGCGCCCCCCCCCCCATTTTCCCCACAGCCTATGTTTGGTCCAGGGCATCCAAACAGGGACTTGTTTTGACTAGTAGAGGCCTTTTCCCATCTGGGACATTTGTTTCCATAGCAGAGAAGGCTCTTAATCAGTGGTAACGAAAAGAGCCAATCAGTTCCCCTGCTTTAGTGCATGTTTCTGCAGCCCTGCTGCTGGCGTTGTAATGGGATTTTCACAGCTGAAGAAGGCAGAGCCCTCTTTCCACAGCATGACCCTCCATACTTTCAGGAAAAAGTTGTTGTGACTGATGCCACATGACAGGGACTTGTGCACAATTGAAAGCACAGTGATTGTTTTCACACTAATTTTTACTTGTGACTATCTCTCCTCCTCGACTCAGGCATGTTTTCAAAGATAGATAGTAGACAGGTAGGTAAAGGATAGATAGATAGATAGATAGATAGATAGATAGATAGATAGATAGATAGATAGATAGATACACAGATAGAAAGACAGAAAGAATAGAGATAGAGGTAGGTTTGTAGGTAGATATGAATGGAAAACGCATTGTGTTTTTGTTTTTCAGGCATAAACAAATTTACTAAGAAGCTTCGAAATCCTTATTCCATAGACAATAACGAGCTCCTAGACTTTCTCTCCAGGGTGCCCTCGGATGTTCAGAAGGTACGTGATTGGTCATCACCCACAGGGCAGCAGCACTGAGTTCTTACCAGCCCTAGAGGTCTGGAAGGGCAAATGGCTGTGCTTGTGTGAGTTATTGAGCTAAAGAGTCAGAAAATCCATGAAGAGTTCTTTTTGGGAGGTGAGGGGGAAAAAAACAACCAGCCCTTCATCCAAAGCATATAATGACTGAGGAAAATTATCCTGCAAAAAGCTACTTAGGAATGGATCTGGAACTCATACTGAGCAGCTACAGGGCTGCAGTGTGGCTCCCATTTTGATTGCTTTCCTCCCTGAAGAGACGGAGATGAGCTCAGAGGAGTTGCATGAGCTCCAGTGAGAAAAGGCATTGCTTATTTTCTTAGTTCTCCAGATGGCAGGCATTTTAGGGGAAGTAGGAGACAAGAGGATTATTCTTTTATTCCTTTTTTTTTTTGTTTGCCCCAATTATCTCTTCAGCATCCCCTCTATCCTCTTTCCACGAAAGACTTAGGAATGCTGAGGGCAAACCCCTACTTACTTTGATTCACACAAAGGAAGAGGTGGTAGGAAATCAAATTTGAGATCAATTTCAAGTATTATTCACAGGTAATGCTCACTTAGTCCAACAGTGTCTCAATTTTGTGGATACACAGAGATTAACAAAGGCATCAATAACAGAAAGTCCCAACAAGTGGCCCCATCCAGGGCCCTGCAGACTTGCCTGCACCAAAGCCAGAGGAAGACAGGCAGACAGTGAATTTTCTAATGGAAAAGAGTGACCGCAGAATAGGTAAAAGGGGATATCATGGCATGAGGCATCATCAAGATGATGAAAGGCACAGTCTTTTATTGTCTAAGAGAACCCCAAATCAAGTATCGATTTTTATCATTGGGCCAATGTAGCATAATTGGCTTCCCGGCATCTTTAGGTAGATTACAGATACATGGGGCTATAATCTCAAATGTCTCAAGGCCCCTTGTCCCCTTCATTCCACATTCTAGAGATTAAAATACACTCTATGGTGCTTTGTTTGTTTGTTTGTTTTATTTTGAAGCTTTTACTTCATGACATAAACCATCAAAAATCAGTTCCATAAAGATATATTTACTCTCTGTCACTTACATGACATAATTGAGAAATGATAACCTGACCCTTCTTTGTTTTGCATTTAGGATTCAAAGTTATGTTGTTATCTTTTATTCTCCTGGGGGACTTTCACAAAATACGAGATGAAAGGATTTTGCTTTCTTCTTGTTTATCTGATTTTGAGAAAGTATAGCCTAATGTAGGACGAGATATAACATCCTTGGGGAAGTTGGCAGCGATGTTAAAATTAGGTAGCACACGTGGCCAATAACACAGTAGGTTAAATAAATGCTGTCCCTGCAGTTTGGCCTACCTATGCAAACATTACATTTGTAATGTGCTATCACTTTGGTTACAGTGTGAGTTCATACGACATTGTGAATAGAAATTTCCCATCAGTCCTGTTTCTCCACGGTCCTGGCACTACCCCTTGGAATGTATCACCCAAGTATAGCTGGCATAGTCACAGACAGACACATAGGACAAAACGTCTGACTGAGGATCCTCCGTGAATTAGCACAAGTCTCCCTGTCCTACCAAGGGTGCTCTCTGATGACAGTTTGCCTCTGGTGACTCCTTCAAAGTTCATGCTTATTTCATATGTTCTAGCCATCACACCGTTAAGTGAAATTAACTTTAAGTGACATCTATATAAGTTCAGAGCCTAGAATCAAATTCAATATTTCATCCCCTCCTAGGTAAAATAAATGTCCGTAAGAGGCTGACTTTTTCCTCTTCATTGTAGGTACTTTGGAATCAGTTGTGTAATAGCATAAGATCAACAATCCCAAGAGGCAGTTATTAGGTTATTTACGTTTGAAAGCTGGTATAAGCACGACTAAGCTCAGACAGCAGTGGTGAGGAAAGTAGAAGCCCATAGAAGCCCTTGCATCTCATTAGAAAAATCTGCTTTTAATATTTTGGTTTCAAGAAATGATGCATGACTTCTGAAACCCTTCCTGCAATTAATCCCCCCACGGTCCTGTGTTTAGAAAGTGATTCATTACCTTTGAACCTTCCTTTCTTTGCCTTGCTGTGTCCTTGGGGAGCCATTAACACACTCTGTGGTGAGCTAGGGTTACCTAACTGCCAGCATCATGTCTGTTTGTTTTCACAGGTGCAGTATGCAGAGCTGAAGCCCTATGGCAGCCACAGCCCGCTTCGGAAGAAGCGGAGTACTGTCTAGGGCTCATGTTGACTGAACTCTCCAGCATCCAATGTGCAGCTGATCAGACCTGTGTCCTGGCTGCTCTGTGTCCTGAAATGGGTGCTCTGTGCATCCCATCACTCTCTGCTCTCTTCACATATACAGATGCACACACCCCCGCACCCGAGTCCCCATGCATGGGTGTCCTAGACAGTCAAAATGACAAAAGGCACTAAGTCTGAGACTGTGGTAGTCTCTCATCCATTTTAAGTATATAAAACAGGGTGTCCACATGTCTGAGCCTTCTCCTTGAGAGCAACTAGAAGATCATGTGATTCTAGAATGACGCTGAACTTATTTCAACACCTTAAGCAGATTTTCACTAAGATTCAGTTATTTCTGGCTGAGGTTGGTAGCTTATACTTATAAACTTAACAACGAAGAGGCCAAGGCAGGTCAGTGTTGAATGCAATGTCAGCTCAGGAACTATACCATGTCAGCCTCTGCTCTGTACCAAAACTCTGTTTTAAAACCAACAGTTAACAGAGGTTCAGTTATTTACAGTCTCGATATCCCTACTCATTTCAGATTATTTTGCTACCATCTCTCCATCCAGATGATGTATATTTAAAAAAAAAACAATGCTTAGTGATTTCCAGAATTAACCCAAATATTTACTAATCTTTCAGCTGTGATAAATAAATCTGTTTGTTTATTTATTTATTTATTTATTGGTGTCCCCTTAGTATTGGATGCCAGCCTATATCACATCTCAGCTGTTGTTGGCAAGGACTATCCCTGAAGGTCCCAAGGAATGACTCATTGGATTAATATGGCTTTTGTGATAGTATTTTGTTGCTGTAAAATGTCATTTCTTCCAACCTCCCCTTTTGCCTGCTACCAAAACAAAGATATTTGTATCAAATATGCATTCTCAGAGAGAAGGTGGAGGTTGGAGCAGATGAACGAGTAAATTCAGAAAGTATTTAGGAATATCAAAGTATGAAGAGGCTTTACTAACACTCTTGGTGAGATATAATCATTTCAGTTGCCAGATGTTTTGAGCAGACAGTTAAAATGTTTTTGGCTGTCTGAGTTTGCTTTTTGTTTTTCTGAGGGTCAAAATAAGGTAAAGACAGTAGAAGCTTATTTCAAAACCCTGTGAATACAAAACAATCGCCAAAAAGTCTTCTGTAGATAACCTCTGAGTCCTGAGCACCCTACAACTCCATAGCACACCCTGCCAAGCTTAAAACAATTAATTTTGTGCATGTAGAAAATGTGTACAAGTAGCTTTGTGTCAGAATGATATTTAAGCTTTAAAATCTGTATTTCATCGACACATATTTGCTGAATGTAGGTTTGTATATGTATTGTAAAGAAAAGTTGGGGTTAAAAAGACCCAATTTACTTCTGTTCAGTTCTTTTGTTTTGTCATTGTTTCTGCATTGTTCAAACAAAATGTTTTATGAAAAATGCCAAAGATTCTAAGCTTTATCATCTCATGTCTATTTTTTTCTTCGTATGCTTCTTGCTGGTTTCTCTGTGGCAGAGCCTGATGTCTGCATGATTTGATTTCCTTCAAGTTAATGAAGCTGGCTGAGGGAAAAAAAAAAAAAGCCTTGAAGATATTGTAAAAGCCCCAGTAAATCTGTTAGTTGTGCATACAATAGATACCCGAGAACTTCTTTGTCTAAACCAGTTACTCAATCTTCTGTGTAAACAATACCTCATTGTCTTGTTCCCAACATCCAGTTTATCATAGTCTGTCATTTAGTAACGACCCAAGGCAGGCATCTTTAAGCCGACATGTGAGGTCTGATCAGTCATTGGAATGAAAACTTTTGGGAGCAAAATAACCCCTTATTTATTTAAATGTGGAACCCGTCCTTCATGGCTGTTCTTTTGCTTTAGAATTTCTAAATAAAATAATTTTCCCAACAGGAAGGTATCATTAGCAAGACTTCTCTCCTCCATAGCCCAAACAGAACTCACAACATTAAATTCAGGACACAAAATCCAGCTGGTATCTGAGAGCAGGACAGGGCCAACTTTTCCTAAACTCTCTACTGAAGACATTGTTAGTTGATTAAATCAACATGGCATGTGAGAAAATGAGAGTTTGGGGGGAAGTGAAATGTTAAGATTTATATAATTATGATAGTTGTATAGGTCTAATCCTTACAGGCTCTGTTTTAGCCCAGGATCTCAGAGAGTGACAAAATACTATAATTAAATAATTAAGTATTTTATTCCATCTTAAAGAAGCACCTGTCACATACTGTGGATGGAACTCTCCTCTTTGTATGCATAACACCAAAACTAGCATGGATTTCTTTTTCCTTTTCCACTGTTTGATGTACAAAAGAAATATTTGTTCTGACCCAAGATTTTAGCAACTTCTGTAAGATTTTTCTTCTTCCTGAGAATTTTCACAATTTGGACTCATGGAAAGAAGTCCTTTGGCATGTCTAGCTTTGTCAGGATGACGGTTTGTATGCTTTGAGACCATATTGAGTAAAACACATGTTACTAGAATGGAATCACTGGAATACTACAGCAGTATGTCTGATGGTTAATGGCCACTCTAAAGACAAAAGAAACAAATGAAAGCAGAATTCTCACACCTCTATAGTTCAACCATGAGTGTTTGGAGTCTGGCTCTCTAGAGACCCAAGGTGCCTGCACAGACATCTAGGCTCTAACCCCAACTACTCACAGCACTTTACACAAAAGATGAGTTGTGTTATGTGTTAAAATTTACTGTTCAGCAAGGTACCAAAAAGTCATCCTTATCCCCTAAAATTTGGGTCAATGCAGGAGTCCCACAATGAAGAGACTAAGTAACTTTTTTTTTTTTTTTTTTTTACCTGCAATAAAATGACTTCGACCTGGTTTGTGAGTGGCATGACTTCCTCTCTATAGACATTCACTCACTGCTTTATTGAAATGTATCTCAATAAATTCTTCATTTCTGTCTTAGTAAATTATTTTATCAGTGCATAACCGTCTCCCCTGTTTTGGTTTGCACGGGAACTGCATGGCTAGCAGGCAGGCAGCATGTGCCATATGGATACCCCGAATGAGGGTTGTTCCACCTTCAAGACAAGATGGGCGACAAGATGCAAGATACAGCTCCCGTGTTTGAAGTGTGTGAATCAGCTTAATGATTTTGTAGAAATTTGTAGATTACATATTTACACTAACCAACTTAAAGATAATTAAGTGGGAGTGTTAAAACCTTGTGAAGGGTTTGTGCTTCCCTTCTTAGCCCTCTACTCAACTGCCAATATATCTTAAAAGCTTGTCTCCTGGACTGGGGTTAGGGTCTTCACAGATACCTTTGTTTTTGTTCTTTGTGCTTTTCCCTCGTCTCCAAACCTGACAAAATCTAGTCTGTCAAGGGTGGAGGTAGTATTGCTTCCGTCCTCTTGGCTACCCTACAAGGTAAAGGTCTATAATTTCTCACATGTCATGGAAAAGGTGGCAATGGTGGTGATCTCATCTATCTGGGATAGTCTTCATCCATCTTATCCCTTCACTTGTGATATCTTTCCCCAAATATCTGGCTAAGTAAATTCTATCTCCTCCAAACCATTCAAAGTCCTCCTCTCTGATTATGTTACCATTTTCTTTGTGCTGTATGAGTTTCCACCTCATGCTGCAGTATAACATGTTGAAGGCATCAGTGTGTTAGAGAGTGCTAACTTAGGTCTCTCATAAAACCACGCTTGCCATCATGAAGTAGCTTTGTCCTAATTACCTTCCAAATCCCCTATCTTCAAATACCATTATCCAATAATTTAAGATCAAGGTTTGAAGAAATTAATTTCAGAGGGTGAATTAGAACATCAGAAATCTACTTCCTGTCTGCTGTAGGTCAGAGCTCCCAGGAGCTTTGACCCCAGCGTTCTTTCCTAGACATGCCAGCCTGGAAGCCATGCAGAGCATGTGCCTGACAGCTCAGCACAGACCATTTGTTTCTGTGTCCTTTCATATGATGCTTTTGTGGGAAAAAAAGAATAATCCAGATAGATCAATGATGCCCATCCTTTACAATAATTACTTGCTTGAAGTAGTGAGCTTATTTTATGTGATATATGTGATTTCTGGATATGTCAATGACCAACCATCTGATTATACAATGTCTTATATTTAGAGAAATTCTTATATGGCAATAGAAAATATAATATTTGTGAACTGTAAAATGACCTTCTGATTCTTCTCTTATGTTTTTGTAACTTTGCAGTTAACATATTGAATACAGATTGATACACATAAGCAAAATAGACAACATTCCCTTGGTGGAGCCAGATAATAAATGGATGCTTTCAAGGAACTAATATAACTTGGATACAAGTTTCATAAAACTTTCAACTTAGTTGCAGTGGGTGGCTTAAGCAATTAGGAATGTGCAAAGAATAGTTCTAAGTCATATGTAGTACTGCTGATATAAATGAATAGTGTCCTAGACTTTTTTTTATCATTGCACAGTGAGAGAAAATATGAGTATAATTGAGAGATTATAAAAAGCAAATGAGAAATTGTCATCTACTTGACTCCCTAGTCAAGACAGCAGGGTTAAAGATGGCTATTTGATTCAAGCAAATAAAATGCTGATAATTTACCACCTTTCTCCAAGTCTAGGAAGGTAATGCTGTGTTTTGTTGTGGATAAAAATAGATAATCAGATATGGGAAGAATGTATATGGCAGCCATGGAGAGACTGTGCTGTCAGTGTTGAGTTGGAAGAATCCAAAACATCTTTAATGCAAGTAACAAGGAAGTACCACCATTTGAATAAAGTGCTCGAAGAAGAAACATTCCACACCTGGGAGAACCACACTTCAGGACTAACACTCAACCTGAGTAAAGGCTTGCTGTTAAAGGAAAAGAATCTTGATAAAAACATTCGGACATAGTCATGCAGTGGTGTGGAAATGATGGACGGGGTAGAGGGCATTTGATAAAGTAGCAGCTGTGCCAGCATGAGGACAGTACTATGGAAATTCTCACCTCCCACATAAAAGTAAGGTCTGGTGGCCCACATCTGTAAGCCCAGTTCCGGGAGATAGAGACAGGTGGATCCTTGGAGTTTGTGGTATAGAGACGCCCTGAAAAAACAATGAGTACCAGATTTATTGAGAGATCTTGTTTCCAAAAGTAAAGGTGAATGGGGCTTAGTGAGCTAGCTCAGCAAATAAAGGTGGGTATTGCCAAGCCTGGTGACCTGAATTCAATCCCAGTAGACATATTGTGGAAAGAGAAAACCACCTTCCACACGTTGTTCTCTTTGTCTCCATATTTGTAGTGTGTCACACCTACCTAACAACCCAGACAGTAAGTAAATGAAATGTAGCCAAACTATAACAGAAACCAACAACAGCAGTTACACGATGTTGACACACACACCCCCCCCACACACACACACACAAATGAGAAAGGGAGAGAGAGAGAGAGAGTTGCTGCTGATATACCCACAAAGATGGTAAACACTGTCAGAGGATGTATCTTTTCAGTGCATAGGAAAAGTCTTTGTGTGAAATGGTGCTCGGTTATTTTAAGATTAATATGAGTATAATATTGACCCCTTCCATATCTCATGGAAAAAATATCAATTTGGCAGATCTAAAAGTGGATGTGAAAATAAAAATTCTAGAAAGACACAAAAGAAAATATCTTTATACCATTTAATAAGTAAAAATGTCAGCAATAAACATAATGTTAATTCAAAGGGAATACAATAATGCTTTGAAGAAGACTACAATTAAACTTTTCTTCAAAAGTGACTAATAAAGAAAGGACTTGTATGTAAGAGAATCTTTATTCATGTTCTATTATTTATATATTATTATATGTCATATGATAATACCTATATTATATTTACATATGGTCCAGTAAATGATTCTTAGGCAGAGTATCATGAAAAGTCAAATACTTACCTCAGAATAAATATATGAACATGTACTTCCTAGGAAGTACCTACTCAAGTGGCTAACAAGCAGAAAAATTGGCCAATGTCTTTTATCAGACAAACACAAAATGAAATTATGAAACAACTATATGGAAAGAGCTACCTGGGAATTTAATTGATGCAACTACTTTGGAAAACTGTTTTTTCAGTTTCTACTAAAGTTGATCACATGTGCCCTGTACCCATTTCTACCAGATCAGCCTTTGGCACATCACGACAAAGGTAGGTATTGGTATGTTTAGCCATTCATAAAGCCACTACTTGCATTTTGCATAAGTGAGGAGGCCTATTTCCTTTATTATCTGTGTTAAGGCATACATTTTAACTATAATACAGAGTTGGTAGAGATTAATTGAACGGCTTTCTATGGAACAGTATGAATCCACTTCAAAAATGTCAAGCCAGGAATCTCAAGGATGAAGCCATAGGGAGTGTGATTTCAGTTACCTAAAGAGGCAAAACAAACCCTAGCATGTACAAGCTAGAAAGCCAAGTTGGGAGGCTAAATGCCTGAGCC